TAAGAGTCTCAAGATCGTTTTGTTTATCATAATAATGTGCTCCTATTATTGATTTTATACAATCTGATAATACTTTTGGATTATTTCTAAAAATTATAATTAGAATGTGTACTTTAATGATTTTTAGTTTCCAACATTTAAAAGATTTTAAATATTTAATAGAATAGCTATCTCTGAAAGGTATTTATCATTTATTAACTTCTACCTTAATTAAATTATATCACTTGGTTTTTTAAATTGACTCTATTGATTTGGAAACCTTAGATAAAAATAATAGAAATACCCTTAAAGCAACATATAGTCATAAAAATAGAACTCCAGTAACTATTACCCACTTATGGCAAAGTCCTCATTATTTCCATATTAATAAGGTTATCCAGTCTTCTAAAGGTATTCCATTTCATGAATTTTATTAGTTAAAGCTTAAACTAAAAGTTTTGTATTCTTGAATTCTAGTAGTTGGTTGAACATCTGTAATTAAATTTATAATAATATACAATAAATCATAAAAGCTTAAAGTATTTCTACCACTGTACAATATTTAAGATAATTTACATAAATATTTTTTTACATTTTTTCAGATTTAAATAAGAAATTAAATGATATATAATAATTTTATAATGTAAAGAACATAATCTAGTTTAAGCAGTTCACTTTGCATATGCTGATAATTTTATTTTTATTAAATGTTAATATATTTTCTATAAAAATATTTTCTAATTATTTTAAATCATAAGTCTATTTCATAAATATCAAAAGAGTTTGATTAATAATTGGTTGAAAGAAGAATTTAGCATGACTTATAAAGAGCTTTCGATAGTAAAATAGAGAATTTAATATATATGCTCAGTCAACTTAAATTATGTTATTTTTTATTATATTTAATACTATATAGCTGACATATTTATATTTCAAACTGCCAATAAATTTGGACATTCATATAAGTATTTAAGAGAGGTTGAATGTCGCTTATTACATTATAACATCCTGTTTTGATTGAGAGGGGATACTTTATAAATAAAAAAGAGACTTATAGAAAATAACGATTAACTCTCAATTCTATATTAATTAAATTAATATAAAAATAATATCCTTAAAATTATATTAAAAATATCTTCCAGAATATCAATTATAAAATTCTTCATTAAATAGTCAGAATGAAAGAATGATATTGATTTAAGTCAAATTGCAAATATAAATCATAATTCATCAAGAAATATAACAACGATTTAATGTTTTGAGTTAAATTTATTATTTAAAATTATACATGTTAAAATTGATTAAGTTGAGTAATATTGGTTTCAATAGAAGAGCAACAATATTAATTGGAGGAATGACTTGTATTGGTCTTTATAGTGCAGGTTATCAAAGATTTAAGAAAGCATAATTTGCATCTCTTTATGAAAACTTAGAATTAAAATAAGTATTGAAATTGATCAATTTAAGGATTATTAATAAGAATATTTAAAGGGACATGTTTAAAGCGTTAATGGGTTTTGGAATAAGATGATTTAGTATGGAAAATTGTAATTAAGATTTCTGTAATTGATCCTAACTTTTACTCCTCTTGTATTATTTTTTCCTTTTGCCTTACTTTTCAAATCATATTTGTATAAGTATTGGCTAAGACTTTTAATTAAGTCATTAGAGATAGTAAGTTCTTAATATATAAGGCTGGGCCATTATGGATGAAATTGGGATAATGGGCAAGTCATAGAGGAGATGTATTTGGTTATGAAGTAACTTCATAGTTAAGTAAGCTAAGAGATTCAGCAACACCTCACAATTACTATTATACAAAAAAATAGTTTGAAGATGAATTTAAATAAAAGATTGAAGATGTTTTTGATAGTTTTGATAAAAATCCAATAGCATCAGGATCAATTGGTTAAGTTCATATAGCATATAAAAATGGTGTAAAATATGCAGTAAAGGTTAGACATCCAAGAATAGTAGAGAAATTAGAATTAGATTTAAAAATTTTATATATAATATCAAATATATTGAGTTCAACTCAACAAATATTTAGAAGATTAGCTATGCCAGTAACATTTTAGGAATTTAGTGTAACATTAATGAATTAAGCAGATCTTTCATTTGAAGCAAAGAATCTTTAGATTTTTGAATAAAAATTTAAAGATTCAAAAAATGTCATTTTTCCAAAAATACTAAAAGAATATGTTTCAAAAAGTGTAATAGTTGAAACTTTTGAAGAAGGAGTATCATTGTCAGATTTTATGAAATTAGAAAGAACAAGAGAACATAGAGTGGCAGCTAATTTAGGACTAAAAGCATTTTATAAAATGTTAATTTATGATAATTTTATACATGCTGATCTTCATTCTGGAAATATATTAGTAAGAATAAAAGATAATGATACATCTAAATTTGATTAGTTTAAAAATATGTTAGAAGAAGGATTTTATGATTTAGTAGAGTATGCTGCTGAATAGATTGTACCACTATTTGAAAAGTTTGTATTAAAGAAACCATTAAAAGTAAATTATATTCTATTATTTATAGATTTCAATATTAGAGAAAGAGAAGATATTTGATGAATAACAATTTTGGAACTTCTTGAGGTAGACGAATTATAATTAAAAAAATTTAGATTTAATATTTATAGATCCAGGAATGGTTACTATTTTAAATTAGAATGATAGAATAAATTTTATTAAAATAATTATGTTTGTTGCCTTAAGATAACCTAAAGAATGTGGTCAATTAATGTTAAGTTTGGCATCATATAATACTTAATTAAAGGAAGAGAAGAAATAAAAGTTTTTAAAAGATATAGAAGATTTATTTGGAGAGGTTTGTAATGCCCCTTTAGCTAAAATGGATTTAGGTTTAATTTTTAAAGGTATGCTTGAAATTTTAAGATCTAATGGACTTGCAGTAGAAGGACATTTTGCTACATTATTAACTAATATGATGATATTAGAAGGAATAGGAAAAGAATTAGATCCTAAAATCAATATAGTATCTAAAGCAGCATCTTTTCTTTTGTAAATAAGAACAATAGATAGTACAATAAATGAATTAATGAATATTTCATAATGAAAAGTCGTTTTATAATTTTATTATTAATGAAAGTTATTTTTACATTATTCCTAAGCTTGTTAATTGCTCAATGTGATAAAAATTTGAACTCTAAAATAGAGAGTTTACTATAAACACAATTGGGTCATACACTATTGTCAACAGCATAATTAGCATTGTAAACAAATACACCTTTGGATAGGTAAAGTTGTTATCTACTATAGAATAATAGATACTTTGTAAGATTTAGAAGATAAATATTAAAAAGATCAAAAGGAAGAAGATTAAGAAAACAGAGAGTTTCAATAAAAATGTGATACAGATCTTTCTGATTTAAATACAGAGATTGATGCAATAAATAGAATGAAAGTGAAGATATAAGGTGCTATAGATTAATTGAAAGCTAGTATAGAGTATGTTAAATAAAAAATATATTAATTAGATCAAAGAAAAAGATCTTAAATGATAAAAATGCTTTGAGAAAGAACTTGAAAAAAGGAATGAATGAAGTAGATGTTATAAGAGAATATTAAGAGAAAATTTATGAAGAAAAAAGAGGAGAAGTAGGAAAAATAATAAAAACATTAGAAGAAGTTAAATTGGTATATGCTACAAAATTAAGAACAAATTTTTTGGAATTATAAACTGAAAAAACAAAAGTATAACCAGAAGTCTTTGCAGAAGTAACTAAACAATTAGTTAGTTTTGGTAAGTTCAAATCTATTGGAAAACCATTTTAAAATATAATAGATTTTATGATTCAAATGAGTAAGAATGGAAACAATATAGGTGTTTTAAGGAACATTATAGATTTAAGTGAATCTTTAATTAGATAAATAGATGAAATCTGGTAAGTGGAAAGAAAGGCAGAAGAAGAAAGAGTTAGATGGTATGCAGAATATTAAAAATTTATGAATACAGATTTCAAAATTTATGATAAGGAAATAGGAGAATTAGAAGCTTAATTACAATCATTAAAAGATAGATTGGCAGAAAATGAGAAAAAGATGGATGATTTAAATATTAGACTTGAATCTAAGGAATATACTAAAGAAGATAGAAGAAATGAATGTTAATAGGCTGCATATGACTATACATAAAGAAGGACATCAAGATAAGAGGATCGTAATATAGTTTCTGAAGTGGTTGGATTGCTTAATGTTAATATGAGAGATCTAAAGGAAACTCTTGCTTAGAAAATGGCTGCTGGAGATCATATTTGATGAAATTTACAGCATATATCATATTAATTTCATCTTCCTCATAACCATCATGAATTCATCTTTACTAACTTTACCATCTTAATCAAGATCAGCAGCATAAATCATATCTTTTAATGTTTATTCATCACATTCTTCTCCTAAATCAGCTGCAACTCTTCTTAATTTTTCTAAATCAATAGCACCCTATAAAATATAATATTAGATTACTTCATTATCATCATCAAAATAGTTAAATGCTTTTTCTATTTCTACTTCAACATTCTTATCTTCCAACATTTTCTTTTTCATCATTTCAACAAATTCTTAAAATTCAATAGTTCCAGATCCATCTCTATCTATTTATTCAACCATCTTTTATACTTCTTCTTTAGATGCATTAAATCCAAGTGCCTAATAAAATGAGATTTTTATTATTTACTTTCATTGCATTTCTTAATTCTGATTCATCAATTGATCCTGATTTATCTGTATCAAATAATGTAAATGCTTATTATAAAACATCTATTTGTTCTTTTGTCAATTTTGTTCTTTTAGCTTTCTTATTATTCTACATTTGCTCTAATTATTTAATTATTAATATATATAATATAAAATATTTATTTAATGTTCTTAAAAGATTGATATGTTCCATTTATGAATTAGTAATGATTGATTTATAATATCCATTTAAAATTAAATATATAAGATCTGATTTTTCATAATTTATTATTTTATTATTACCATAATATTAATTTAATGTAATAAACTACATCAATAAGTAAAAGGATTGCTATTAAATTTCATAACGTATAAATGACATACATATATTAAAAAAGATAAAAGGAATTTACAAAAAGGATCCTTCAGCATAAAAAGTAGAAGGATAAAAAGAATTCTAAGAATATGTCTAATATTTAATTGAAAGAGGAATGAAAATAAATAATTTACAAATGGCTTAATTTAAAACAAGAAATAATTTACCTTATTTGGGATTACAAAGTAACTTTTCTATAAGCAATTTGGTTAGCTATAGAAAAAATAGAAAATGATTCAATTCTTGTATCAGTACCAAAAGAATTAATGTTGACCACAAAAATTGCTTATTTTTCAGATATTCAAGAAATCTTTGATGCTTATCCATAATTTTTTTGTTTGCATTGTGCAGGAGGATGGCAGGATAGAATATTACTCACATATATATTATATTAATCATAATTAGGAAAGTAATTGATTTTAATGTAAATATTTAGATAATCGTAATGGTATCATTTAATATCTAATTTACCAAGAGATATTGATTACTTAATATTTTGGTCTGATGAGGAATTAAAATTATTAAATGATGAAAAACTTGTATAGAAATCTAAAAGAGAATTATAAGATTTCTTAATAATTTAAAAGACATTGACACATATTTTAGATTAATATCCTTAATATTTTAAAAAAGAAACATATAGTTTTGATAATATTAAATGGATATTTATACATTTGGTAAGTAGATGTTTTGGATCAACTTTAGAATAAGTTGCATTTGTTCCATTTTGTGAAATGTTTAATCATGAGAATACTGATGTAAAATACACAGGTTTGTATTTAGAAAATAACATAAATAAACCTAAAGAAGATAAATAATAAGATACTAATCAATCTGATGAATCAGATGGAGATAGTGATTCATATGAGTAAGAAGATTATTAATATCCAATTGAAATTTTGTAACAAATCAAAAATTAAAAGTAAAAAACACCAACTTATAAATTAATTGAACAAGAATTAATTTAGTATTAAAATTAAGTGAACTTTCAAGATCCTAATGCAATTGAATAATTGAGACTTTACTAAGAAAAATGTAATATCAGAATTGATTTATAAATCTAATATCTGAAAAACAAAAGATGGTTTTAAGAAAACTTAAATCTAAGAGATAATTTTACCATCATTTTTGTCTCTAAGAGTTTAGAGTATATTTAAGAATAAATTAAATTATATGAAACAGATGTATTATCATATGATTAGGTGTCATCTATTCTATAATCAGTAGAAGAGAAATCAGAATTATATTTAGAATATGTTAAAGATTATGCTTGTGAAAAACTCAAAGAGAAAAGTTATTAATTAAAATAATTTGAATTTCCAGAATAACCATAAGGTATTGAAACTGTTGAGGAAATGTTAAAGATTGCTATTCCTGAAAATATTAAACCTTTTGAAACTAAAGAAGATTGGAAGGAAGATTTATTTGATAATTTTGTTATTAAATGTTCAAACAAAGATGAATTTGAAAAAGGTGCTTAAGCCTACTTTTCATATGGTAAAATTTCAAATAGATCTTTATTATTAAGATATGGATTCACTCTAGAATACAATATCTATGATTATGTAGAAGTGAAAACTTAATATATTTAATACATACCATTTGCCAGTGATATTGCATAAGTAAAAATATATATATAAATATATTTAGAACTTCTAATTATCCAAATATAAAAAATTTAAAATAAAATATACTAAAATTAATGATGATTTATTGATGTATTTTAAAATTTTAAATTGGTAATATGATTAAGGCATATCATATTTATTTGATGATATTTATGATACAACAGTTATTGATTAGGCTATCAATTTAATTAAATCATATCACACTGAAAATTTTAAGGAAACTTTAAAATGTCAATAAGAGAAAATTACAGATTAAAATTTAAATTATCATGATTATTTTGCCTTAATTTATCATGTTGAACGATAAAGAATTATAGAAGCTTAATTAGAAGCATTACAAATGTTGAAATGTAAAATAGAGAAAAAGGATTATGGAAAGTAATAGTTTGAATGGACTTCATATTTAATTGAGAAATTCTAAGATTGAAGTTCATATAACTATAATGATTATTTTTAATAGAATTATATTATATTTATACTTGATGATATATATTCTTCAAAGAGAAGAAAATTATTATAATTATAAGCAAAGATTTTTAATTTTTAGATACATATTTAAATGATCATTTGATCGAAAGATTTTGAAGCAAATTATTATGCCACTTTTTTACAACTTCATCTTTAATAAAAGATTAAGTTGGATCTTTTAATACTTATGGCAAATATTTTTTAAGAACTTCTCCAGCTCTAAAATAAAATAAAATAATTACTTTTGGTTTTCAGATAATCTTAGATAACATCTAATTATATGTCTCAATAATCTTTAATCATCTTTTTAAGATTAATGTAAATCATCTATCATGGTTTGTAAGACTTAGCTTACTGCAAAAAATCTTTCAGGAGTTTAACAGATATAATTAAGACCATTGTCATCGAGAAGAATCTTCTAAACAATAAAGGTAGCAACTGTTCTAGAAAGTTCTTATCCTTTTTTCATGATTCTCAAACAAAGTGGAATGATTTCAGTTTGCATTAAAAAATTAATTGCCTCTGGATCATCACCCTTTAAAAATTAAAAAAATATTATTACTTTCACCAAAGCACCTATCACACCCAAACTTGTAACTCTTAAGTTTTCAAAAGCTTTGCTCTTATTACTAGTGTTTAGAAATGGATATAAAAATAATGGAATATGAGCTATATTTAAATTTAATATTACCTCTTAAGAAACAAGATCTTGTTTATACATGTAGAGCAAGACATTGAAGTAATCCCAAAACACTACAGATTCTAGATGATTAAGCTGGTGTTAGTTAGGCTGGTTGTAAATGTTGATATACAACTGCTATTTCTTATAGACTTAAATATTTAAGTTTAAATATATTACAATATAGCTATGGTACCAACAGAGTGCCATAAGAGTGGTGCCAAATGAGGAAAACTTTCTCTTTTTTTTGATAATTCTGATAATGCTTATTCTCTTTTATCTGCATCTCTTAATTAAAGTATATATTGGACCACTAACTCAGTATCTGAATCTTTTTACATCCTACTAAACTGATAAATTTGAACATATATTATACATCATCAATACTTTATTCTGATAATTGTGTACTCAAACTTTTTTGAAGACTTGGTGATGGTGAGTATCCTCCAAACATCATTTATTAAGGAGGTGACTTTTATTTAGCTTGAGCTTATTCAAAGTATCGTTTGTCAGCAGGTGAGATACTTACCATACTGTCACTTCGGTAATTTTATGGCACTATGACATATTGATTAGACATTAAGAATTATTAATTATTTTTTTATTATAATAAAAGTAACAGTGTCTTGGAACTTATACACTTTAATATTTTAATTATTTAAACTAATTTTATTACAAAAAACAGTTCAATTCTTAAGTTGATTAAGATTGAACAATAATTATAAAAGTAAATTCATAACTTAATATATTATTATATTTATAGAATTGCAAAATTTCATTTTATAAAATGAACATAATTTAAAATATGTAATTTCTATTATTAATGCAGATTTTAATTATTTTTTATCTTTAAGCTAAAATTGAGTGATCTATTCTCAGTATTCAATATTAAAAGTTATTGTTATGCTATATTTGAAATTTACAATTCATTCATTTTTACAATTCAATTCTGAAATTTATGAAAAAAATATACACTAAAAAAAGGACCTCAATTTATAATAAGATAGGTTCATAATCATAAATTGATAATAATATATTCGTTTATCAAGATTCAGTACTAAAATATCGGTAAAGAGGCCAGTTTATATGAAGAATTAAAATAAAAGTTTTGAAATAACTGAATTCTTTATGTTTATAGAGAATTATCACATTGATTAAGTAAATCAAAATTAAATTTATAGGGAGAATGTCTAATTCTGAATTGATACAGCCTCGAAGAAAAGCTTGGAGTATGTTAGAAGATCAAATGCTTCAAGACTTGAGGTAGAGGAAAAGTCTTGATTGGATTGAAGTAGCAAGACAAATAGGTGGAAGAAATCCATCTTAATGTGCTTAAAGATGGAAGAGAATTAAGGGATTTAAGTTGAGGAGATAATGGACATAGGAGGAAGATGAAAAACTAAAGAATTTAGTAAAAGAATATGGATATCATTGGAGCAAAATCAGTAAATTATTACCAAATCGTTCTGGAAAATAAATAAGAGAACACTATCTCAATTAATTACATCCTGAATTGAATAATGAACCTTGGAGCAAAGAAGAAGATGAAAAAATAATTGAAATCTATAATAATGTTGGAGGAAAATGGAGTGTAGTATAAAAAGAGCTTCAAGGTAGATCAGAAAACAGTATTAAAAACAGGTTCTATTCATACTTACGAAATAAATATCTCAATATAAAGAATCCTTATTATGTTGTTCCAAAAAAAGAACAATTGAATTTAATAAAAACTGAACAAAAGCTCAGTTCAATTGTTTCAGTACAATCATAAGAATAATCGCCTTCAATAAGTATAAGTCCAACTTAATAATATCTAATACCAATTAATATGCCAGTCATGCCATCAATAAGTTCAGTTTATTGTTATCCTCAATTCTCACTATGTTATCCTTATTACTAGTTTGCTCAACCTCAATATTTCTTGTAATGCATATCGAATGCTATCTAATAATGATTAAAGATTTAATATTATTTATGTTCATCGAGTGTTACCTTATAAATAATAAATTAATTTAAGATATCTCTATTATTATCATAATTTAATTATATATCAAATAAGATCCAATAAATTATGATATTATTTGCAATTCAGTAATTATATTAACATAAATTAATTACCATAACATTATCTTCAGTAAAAAATATATTCATATTATAAAATTGATAAAACTATATTAATTATGATATAATTGCTTATAAATTATTTAGATAATCATTTTTTCATTTACTTAAATCCTAATTAGAAGATTAAGTCTTCAGAATTTTGATTTTTCAAAAATGCTTCACCAAACATTAAAATTCCTACCTTAAATATAAAATTCACAATTTCCTTTTCTATTTCTTAACCTTATGATACAACAGTTAGAAACATAAAGAAATCTTATATAGATGAACATTATGGATAATGATCAAATTGAAATACTAATCCTTAAAATTTTAGGTTTATGTATTCTTTAATTCTTTTTACTTAAAAAAGATCAAAACATACTTATTAAACTATTTTTAAATATTTAATAGGATATTTTTCTTTTATTTATTGAATAATATTGGGATTAGATAATGTATATGTTGTAAGATCTGTTAGATTTTTTGATGTTTTCACAGTTTTAATTATAGTTTTAATTTCATTAAAGTTATCATCCATTTTCCATTATTAATTATATTATACTAATCTTTAATCCATAGGAATATTGTGAGATTTCAAATTATTTTAATATTCCTTTTAATTTAAAGGTGGATGATATTGTACTAATATTTCTTCATCTTTTTCTATATTTTTAGCACTGATGACAATTAATAATTCTCCTAAAAAGTAATAAAATATATTTGGAGTTAAACTATGATTAACTTAAGATAATGTGAACCATAATCCTTCACTCTAATCTAAATATTTAATTTATTTATTCTTTGTGAATACTTTCAATAATTAAAATGCATGTGCATTATATCTAAATATATTTTCAATTCTATTAAAATCAACAATATAATTTTAGAGTTAATATTCGAAATCCTATTTTATTAACTTAAGAGCATAATTATTAGATCCATCATACAATTTAAATAATCTTTCAGCAAATTGTTTATCATTAATTGCCTTTTATCTAATCTCCTCATAAATATTATCCCTTTAATGTGTACCAAGTGTTTAATTTTCCTATATTTTATGCATTGGATGTTCAACTATTAAAACTGTTCCTTTAGGAATAGGTTAATTCACAAATAATCCTAATCCACCTAAATTACTTTTCTTTCTTTCTATACTTTTATGTCTATAATTATGAATATTTTCAAAGTAAAATTATTGTTAATTTATGTATTAATTTAGTATTGAAATTAGATCAATATTACCAGATTGATGTTTAATCATTAATTCACATTCAACTAATTTGAATACTATATCTTTATCTGTTTTATGATTTGGAAGTGACTCAAATAATTTCTTGGCATCATTTGGATTCTGCAATTTAAGATAACATAATGCTTACCTTTAAATTGCCTTCTCATTTTAAGGGTTAAGTTTTAAAACTTAATTAAGGTCATCAATAGACTCTTAGATATAACCTAATTGATATAAACATTGGGCTCTATTATTGTAACATTATTCTAATATTAAATTTGTTTTATTGATATGATCATATTTGATAACCATTGAATAGACTTCATAAGCTAATCGATATTATTATAATTTAAAATATTGATTTCCTTTTTCTTTAAGCTAAATTGGTTCTGTTTAATCAGTTTCTGAATTAATCATTGCTTAATATGTAAATTCATTTATAGCAATAACATCTAATTAATCTTAAATAATTATTCCAAATTCCATTAGTATTGGATTTTTGACAATTAGCCAATCATTGATTTAGTAATTGCATGATTTATTTTATTCCATAATTGTTAAATTGAGCCATATTTCATTAAAATCTCTAACAATTAAATATTAATTGGTATTTTTCCAATCAATCTAATATACTTAAACAATAATGTATTAATTATTCATATTTTTATTTTCCATTAATTCTTCAACATCTATTAGTTTCATTTCTGATATAGGTAATTTTGGTGTTTTTTCTATTTTTTGAATAGGAGGATCATATTTTTAAGAATGTATTGTAATTACATGAGCTGGGATATTTGCCATAAAGACTATAATTTTATTATTAAATGAAAATAATACAATTAATTTAATAATTAGAAAAATTTTATAAGTATTAATTGTTTATTACATTATATTCATTTAAATATTTAAATTATATACTATAAATATATATATGATACAAATAAATAATATTATATTTAAAATTTAGGAACATATATTTATCTAAACACTATATTCTGTATTTACATTAAATAAAATATCTTATTGATGAATAGAATCCAACATCTTAGTACTTAAGTAAATAATTGTACTCCTGTACCAGCAAAAAGTGATAATGATGTAGTCATTTGTGGAGCTGTTAGAACTCCTTTGACTAAAGCTAAAAAAGGTTTACTTAGAGATACTCCTCCAGAAGTATTACTAAGTACTGCATTCACAGGATTGTTATAGAGAACAAAGGTTGATCCAAAGTTGATCTAAGACATTGTAGTTGGTAATGTCAATCAACCTGGAAGTGGAGCTATAGTATCTAAGATGGCTGCTTTCTTAGCAGGGTTTCCTGATACTACTTGTTTAACAGCTATAAATAGATTCTGTTCTTCAGGAATAGAAGCTTGTGCTGTAATTGCTGCTAAAATTAGAACTGGAATGTTGGATATTGGTATTGGTGCTGGAGTTGAGTAGATGACTATGTATGACATGTAGAGTTAAATGAATGCTGAATTACTAAGTGATGCCATTTTTGATCATCCATGTGCAAGAGATTGTTTATTAGGTATGGGATAAACATCAGAAAATGTGGCTGCTTAATTTGGAATCACTAGATTATAATAAGATAAATTTGCTTATGAATCTTAATAAAAAGCTTATAAAGCTTAATCAGAAGGATTATATAAAGATGAGATTGTACCAGTTAAGATAACAATTAAAGATGGTGACAAGACAAAAGAGATTCTTGTGACAGAAGATGATGGAATAAGAAAAGAAACAACACTTGAAGGTTTAGGCAAATTGAAACCTGCCTTTGGAAAAGATGGATCTACAACTGCTGGTAATTCATCATAAGTTACTGATGGTGCAGCTGCTGTATTATTAGCTAGAAGATCTGTAGCCAAAAAATTAGGATTACCTATACTTGGAAGATTTCTTGATTATACCGTTGCTGGTGTACCACCAGGTATTATGGGTATTGGTCCAGCTGCTGCTATTCCTTAATTATTATAAAGAAACTCATTAAAACCAAATGATATTTGCATCTATGAAATTAATGAAGCTTTTGCAAGTCAATCTGTATATTGTGTAGAAAAGATTGGTATTGATCCAACTAGAGTCAATCCAAAAGGTGGTGCTATAGCATTAGGACATCCTTTAGGTAGATTTTTATTTATAATATTTATAGGATGTACAGGAGCTAGATAAGTGGCTACATTATTACCAGAAATGAAAAGAAAGAAGGCTAAATATGGAGTAATTTCTATGTGTATTGCTACTGGTATGGGTGCAGCAGCCTTAATTGAAAATGAATAAAACTGAGTTTATCATTTAATCAAGTTATTTTAAAATTAGATTAAATAAAATTATTACTTGTGTTTACATAATATAGATAAAAGCACATTACCTATGTTAAATTCTAATTATTCAACTCCTGTTAAACATATCATACTAACTCCAAAATAGGAACTGATCTGTAATTATAACTTACTAATGAATCATTACTAAGAATTAGAATCTTAATCCTAAATTAATAATCAAGATGATTAATTAAGATATCAAGAACTTATATCTAAAATAGACAAGGTTTTAAATGACATTATTAATAATATTGCTGAACTTCAAAAATCAACTTTAAAAGATTATTCTTCATTCTTATAAGAACTAAGAACTTAAAGAGAAAATTATGGATAAAAGATGGAATATGTTAATAAAAAGTAATAAATCAATTATTTTGATGAAATTGAAAAAAAAGAATAAAACAAACTAAATATGTATTAATCATTATCTAAAAATATTGATACTCCTCAATTAATGCCTATAACTTCAACTATAAAAGAAAATCCTAATACTAAATACCACCAATCTTCAACATTACCAGTTAAATAAACAAAAGACAATTAGTCATATAGTTGTCATAAATAGCTATAAAAAGATTTAGATCAAAATTCAGGTCTTAAATATATTTAACCATAATACTAATCATTATAACCATCATAATTTAGATTTAAAACATCTCCTTCTAAATAACATTTCCCTCATAAAATATTAAAAAGAAAAGAAGTAAACTATATTGATCCTCCTACATTTATACATAATAATTAATAACAAGCATTATAATCTTTAGATTTATAATTAACTTAATCATCTGTGCCACTTTTCGATTAACATTAACCATAAAATTATAATAATTTTACTTCTCCAGATTAATCATCATTTTAAGATGATTATGAGTAATACATTTCTTCAGATTTATTTTAATCAACAAAAAATATGCTTCAATCATAAAATAAAAAGTATCAAAAAAAAAAGATTTTTGATGAAGATTAAAGTGAGAGTTTTTAAAAAAATTAACCTAATTAATTAAACATTAAATCTAATTAATCAAATTTATATAAATAGAGTATACCTATCAATTTAAATGTGGTACCAATCAACAATAATATTATACCTATTGATACTAAACTAAAGGGTAATAAATAAGACCAATAGTAAAATTATATAAATGATTTACTTGGTAATTTAGGATATGATTAATTTTATTCATATCTCTGTTAAAGATATCCTGTATCAAGAATCTTATAAAAATTTTATTAAAGTAAACCTAGTTGCAAAGATTATAGAACTTAATTATAATAGAATTAAGTTTTTGATTTCATGTCATATATATATTGTACATAATGTGATCAATTTATTTCTATTAATTAAGCAAATAATCACACAAATTTTTGTATGAGCAATAAAACTAATTAACAAAATTAATAAAATAAGTATTTGGATTATTTTACATGCTGTAATGGATCAATAAATAATTAAAAAGAAACAAAAGAATAAAAATATAATAGAATAATAAATGATTTGGCAAAAATAAGATATTTAATGGAAATAGAATTGAAATTAAATCAACCAATAACTTAGATTCAATAAAAGCAATAAGAGTATTGTTGGTTTGCTTTGGAAATATTAAATTTAATAATCGAAAATCCATAGAATTTATAATTAAATTAATAAGTATTAGATTTAATTAGCATCTATTAAGTTTTGGATTAATAGTAATGCAATTTTTATTAACAGTTTGTATTCTTATTATAAAAGGCAAATGCAAAATTATAGAAAATAATATGATTAAATTATATATGCTCTTAATCAATATTACTAAACTTCCAATTAAGGCAGTTGAGGATTTAAAATCTCTATTATTTATGTCTCTAATTGTTAACATTTTTCTGTAAAATTGACAAGCCATTGTATATCTTATTCACCAATTTATTATATAATTAAATTTCTAAGGTGGAATTCAGCTACATTATGAATAACAGCAGTTTGAATTTCTTCATTCTATAAAAAATTTTAAATAATAAATACTTAAGGAATAAATGCAGTTGCTTTGGTATCAACCATTGCTTCTCCAAGATTTTAAGGGTTTATTATTTCTTCTTCAGTGGCTTCATCTTCAACTTATTTTTCAACTCTTGTTTTTCCTGATTTTGGATGAAATCGTAAAGATTCCATTCCTGGTAATAATTTAACAAGGCATGGAATCTTTTGAAAATCTACTTAACCTTTAATTTTTGACCATTTGATCTTAGGTCTATTTTCAAAGAGACTTTTAATAACCAAATCTATAATTTGATTAATATTTTGAAGAAATCCAAATTATGACCAATGCTATTATAAACTATAGATAATATTTGATTTGATAGCATTTTCAATTCCTTACGTTAACTATTCTGGTAAGTTGGCTAATGTCAATTCAGCTAAAATTTTAATTAATAGATGATACGTTCAATATCAGCTAACATTTAATCAATTTAATCTCTTAATCCAACTTCAATTATGGTTCCTTCTGGTAATGCAGCTATTGAATTTGAAATCAATTCAGATATATCTTCTATTGTTTCTCCAACTTATTGTAATGCATTAATAATTATAACAAATTAACCAATAATACCTCCCAAATAACCAATAGTATTAGTTCCTTAATAATATCCATCAATATCTGATATTAAATTAAACCATTCTTTTTCTTCTCCTTTAGATATTAATTATTCTTGAACTGTCTCTTTTAATTTCTATCTTCTTTCCTTTTCCAATCTAATTTTTCTTCTCTCTCTTCTTTATCTATCAGCCTCTTCTTTTGCTATTCTCTATCTTTCTCTTTCATCTAATATTGATTATCTTCGATTTCTTTCTAAAGATAATGTATTTGTATGTAATTAAAACATTTTATCATCAATATTATCTAACATTTAGTTATATTCAACAAGGATAAGATTAGAATTCTATAATTCATTTGTTACATCCTAATAAATCCAAGGTAAATATTCAGATACTAATTATATTTCAATAGGATCTCTAAAATATCCACTAAGTTCCAATTATTATAATGCTAAATTAACACATTTTGATAGATATTTCTTAGCTGATGCTCTACTGACTAATTTTTCATGTGTCTTTATATCCCTCTATTTTTAATTATGGAATTGTTATTTTAATTTAATATTCTCATTATATAACTGTTATTCTTTCTTTTCTAACCTATCTTATTCAGCCATTTCCATTTGTTTTAATTTCTAATAATGCTCTTACTTCTCCTTCATTTCTCTAAGCTCCTCTTCTTATAATACTTCCATTCTACTTAAATCCAAAGTTTTCCTTACTAATACTTAGAGTATTGGTTCAGCTTCATATTCAAAATTAAACAGTTCTCCATCATCCCACACTTGAGTTTCTTCATCAATTCCTGTCTTCTCTTTCATGTACAATCTTGGTACAACTTTCTCGATTATGAATTCTGTTTGAGTTTCTTTGAGATGTCTAGGTGGTTTATCAGTTAACTCTTCAACATTAGGGTCAGTTTAAGTTTCTTCATCATGAATAGTTTCATCTTCCTTCTTCTCAGTCACTACTTTTGTATTTTGAATCCTCTTTATAGTGGTTTACATAGTTGGTTCAGATTTATTCAAAACACTTGAATATGTATTCCCTCTAATGACCCTCTTATCCCACATAATGTTACAAGCTTCCCTATCCTCTCTATATTTCATCTTCTAAACCACTCTAGGTGGAGCATTGAATTCATAATTCTCTTATAATAATTCAGTGGCCATATTAATTATAATATTAATGGATGATCACATTTAATAAGCATGGTAATTCTACAGAAAGTTAGGATCACCTAAATTTATTTGTATCTCCATTAACTTATCATAGGTGCTCCTATGGTTGATTAAAGTGAACTTGCATTTAGAATGATAACTAGAAAATATGGAACAACATTAGCTTACACTCCTATGTTACATAGTAGAATCATGACTGAATCCAAATCATACAAAGAAGAATTCTTTACTACTTGCCCAGAAGACAGACCTTTATTTGCCTAATTATGTGGACATGATCCCCAATTCTTAATTAAAGCAGCATAAATGATTTAAGATCAATGCGATGCCATCGATATTAATCTTGGTTGTCCTTAAGGAATTGCAAAGAAAGGCCTTTATGGAGCTTATCTTTTAGAAAAGAGAGAATAAGTTCTGTAAATTCACTCATTTAAATCATAGAACCATTGTGAAAGAGTTAAAATAAAATATTAAAGTTCCAGTTACTTGCAAAATCAGAATATTTAAAGATCGAAATAGAACTCTTGATTTAGCCAAAGATATTTAATAAGCTGGATGCTCTATTCTTACTGTTCATGGAAGAACTAAAGAGCAAAATAAAGATTTTGTTGGTTAATGTAATTGGACAATTATAGCAGAAATTAAACAACAACTACAAATTCCTGTCTTTGCTAATGGAGGCATATACACTTGGTCTGATGTTGAAAGATGTCTCTAAGAGACTAAAGTAGATGCAGTCATGTCTTCTGAAGCTCTCTTAGAAAATCCAGCTCTTTTTTCTGGTTAGATTAAAGATTTAAATGACTTGGCTTTGGAATATATGTAATTTGCCAAGTAATATGATGCCAGAATAGTTGAAATCAAAGCACATTTATTTAAACTCCTTTATACAGGGTTACAGATACATGTTGGTAATCTAGCAGTCTTATTTTTAGACCAAAGATCTAAGCTAGCTTCTGCAAAAACATATGAAGAGCATTTAGAAGTAGTCATTGAATTAAAAAACAAAAGAGCTGATGTTCCCAAAGAAAATAAATTTGGTTGGTATAAAAGATATTAAAACTTTAAATAACCTTAAAATAATATAAAGGATGATGAAAAATAGGAAAATATTCTTTAATAGTAGGATTTGTTGTTAATAAATTATGATATATAATGATGGACAAATAAAAGTAAATGTGAATGATTGTTTATAAATAAATTAAGTTTTGATAATGAGCGATAATGATTCTGTTTGTTTGTTTTTTTCTAAGTTATAATATATTCAATCTTGAAATTTGAATTTCTACAGCAAATAATGATAAATTCTATTATTAGTTGTATACTTAATCAATTCTTTTTAAAAATAAGAGACAATAAATTTAGGATAAGGAAGTTAAATGAAAAATTACATAGAGAAGTTTACTTTTACTATTATTTCTATGAATAATTATATATATAATTTTGTTAATTTTATTAATTATGTCTAGAAACTATTTTAAATAAAAAGTATTGTTGACATTCGGATATAATGGAGCAAATTATCATGGATTATAAATCTAGAAGGGAGTCGAGTTTGAGACTGTAGAATCAAAGCTTTTTCAAGCTCTTAAAGATTCAGTAATAAGAATATTTATGAATAGAATTTAATAATGGAATAGAATGGAAATGATTTATCAAAATCAGGATGGAGTAGGGGAGCAAGAACAGATAAAGGAGTTCATGCTTTATGTAATTCAATTGCAGTTAAATTATGCATAAATAAAGAATTCTTTAAAGATGATATTTAATAAAATGAGGAAGAGGTTTTATCAAAATTAAAGGATAAAGCAAAAGTGGATTATGGTAAAGTATTAAATGTGATAAATTCCAATTTGCCTAATGATATTAAAGTCCATTCCATAAAATTAGTAACTTAGGGATTCGATGTTAGAAAAAATGCAAGATATAGATTCTATGAATATATTGCTCCAGTTTCCATTTATTCAGAGAAAAAAGGAGAAGAAATAATTGAGAAAGTGAATAATTTAGTAAAAAAATTTGTTGGTACTCATAATTTCCACAATTATAGCAGAGGTATGAAATATACTGATCCTTAATCAATGAGATATATATTATCTATTTAAGTGGAATTATTCAAGTATTAAGACAGGGAATTCTTCAAATTTTTGATTCATGGATAAAGTTTCATTTATCATTAGATTAGAAAGATGATGGGAATTGTTATTTAAATTTTTTAGGAGGAATTGCCTGATACCTTTATTGATAATACTTTTTTCAAAAACTAATTAAGAATAATCTTGGCACCTGCTGAAGGATTGTTCCTAAATCGAATAAGTTTTGAAGGATACAATACAAAATTTGATATTCCATAAAGATTGGAAATAGAGGAGGAAGACTAAATAAAAATTGATTAATTTAGACCAAGTAATATTAATAGATATACTTAGCTATTGTTGATTTTATTTGCGAGTAAGAAATTAAAAATTAAACATTTACTAATTGGTTGAAGATCTTAAAGGAAAAGAATTTCAATATTGAAGAGGAAGAAGAAAATAACAATAAAGCTGAAAATGATGATTGATAATATATTTAAAATGTAGAATAATTTATAACTTCGAATTTTGTCAATAAAATAACTTTATTTTATTGGTATAAATATAAGTAAAATCTTTTAAGGATGACTTAAATTCTATTCATAATTCAGTCTTTAATTTTCTATAAATAATTGTGACTAAAATTAAGTCTTATAATTTAGTATCTCTTTATTAGAAATTTTGATCAATATATCAGCTGATTTAGAAGTATTGCTTGAAGATATTAAGAAATATTTATAATATACATTAATTTATTTTAATGTATCGATATATTAAAAAAGATGAAATCCAGAACCATGCATGATTACTTTTAAATTTAGAATGGATTTTAATTTGTAGAGTATCAATTCTCATCTCTACTTTATTATGATTTTCCATCTTTAATAATAAATTAATAATATATAAAAATGATTTTAGAAGCATTTGAATTTCTCATTTATGCCCTATATCTAGCTTCAGGTTACTTGATTCCAATTTATATGGCTGCTATAGCTTATGCATCAAATGATAAAACAAAAATGAGTAGATGGTTGATACATTTTTTACTTATCAATATTTTGAATCATTCTGTGTTTCCAATTTTGGCATTCATTGGATTATGTAATCAAAATTAGTTAAAATAATATAGAAACTTTCAATGACACTCTAGGTATTTGCATATTGATATTGCCAACTTATGTTTCATTTGATACATTAGAACAAATAGTCGAAAATAATTATGTAATATTCATTGATATAAAGTAGAATAACATACTTGCCCCCAAAATGGAAATTCTTAGGTAAAAGTCATATGTAGGATTATAAAAATTAAATTTATTATGATTAGTATTGTTATATATCAAATAAATCCATATTATTGTAATAATAAATAATGCTTCTGATGATTAATCTTATGAAATACCAAAATAATATATTATATTGATATGAAATTTTGCGAAATGAACTATTTTTTTTCTTTAAATTTTATATATTCTCAAAAAACAAAGACATTTGATGATTTTCGAAATTTCAATCAATTATAAATTAGACATAGATAATTTACTTGTTGAATAAATTTTGGTTGAAGGAACTTAAGAGAGAATGAGATCTAAAGTAAGGTATACAAGTAGTAAAGATTTTACTTTTATAAAGGTCCAATCAGATTATTATCAATACTAAATACTTGTAATTAATTTTAAAGAGTTATTTAAAGGCATTCCACTTGTTCTGGTACATATTAGCCTGATATTAACTGGGTAATTTCAATTTTTTATCATATTTGAGTATTAAGAAAAAAATTTTTATTTTATTTACATTGATAAAATTAAGTAGATCTTTTTTTTGTTCTTATTTGCTTTGAATCTTCATTTCTTTACTTAAATTTAGAGTTGGTTAAAACTCTTTACTCTCTAATAATTTCTGAAAGCACATTATTTTTAGATATAATTTACTGAAATATTTCTTTTAGTTTCATTAATTATGATCTTTTGTAACCAAAATGTATCTATTTGTTATTTATTGCAAATGAGTAAGCCCTTATTAAAATAATTAGATCAGTTTCGGAAATATAAATTTAATTTTACACTTTTGCTATTTTTAAAACCACAAGCAAATAAAATCTTTAAATAATAGAATGAAAATAACAAGTATAATTAATTAACAGTCCCGTTATTTATCTTATTAAATTTTCATTTACTCAATTTTTAACATTTAAACCTTCTGATTATAATATATCATTTATTTCAACTTATATTTGCATTAATAATTTCTAAATTAATCCATAATTTTTTTCTTTATTTTCATTATATGATTAATTTATCTTAATATATTCTTTTTAGTAATTTCTGAATATCTTAAATAGGATTTAGTGAAGAACCTATGATCTTCTATTTTTTTTGTTTACTTTCAGTGGCAAACAATTTGAGAGTTTTTATTGGGGTGAGAATGTTTTTTCATCTAAATATAATATTTAGTCTTAATTAATTTAAGTAAATTATATAATACAATACGTTAATAATATAGTTTATAGGTCTTCATTGAAAAATCTAAGCACTCTAATACCAACTTTTTTGTACTTAATGTAATTTTCTTTTAAATGCTTTTTAAAATTTGAAAGATATAGTTAATTTTTTAGTTCAGGTTAAGTTGAATTTTAAATTTTGAAAAATTTTCTATGACTTCTAAAGTTCAGATGTTTCTAAATCCTTTTAAGAGTTTAGATATTATTAATCTATTCTTAAGTGAAGTAAAATTATATATTTAGGGTCTGATTGTTAGGAGTTTATTTATTCTTCTAATATAAAGAACTTGTTTAAAGCCCTAAAAGACATATTTCCTGTAGTCAACCCTAACTATGATAATTTTAGAATTAAGTAAGCATTTTTTATTATAACCCTCTATTAAATTGTGTTTTCTAATTTTTTTTGTTTTCTTTAGCATCCTCCATTCTAATATTGATTTATTTTGCTATATTGCTTTATTCTAAGTTAATTGCATCTGCAGAGATAATATAAATATATTTATTTCCCTTAAACAAATAATTTTATATTTCAAAAAATTATAGCATTTTGGCTAGTATCTTTAGTGTTAGAAGATACTTCCCCTAATTCAACTCAATACATTACCCAAATAAGTTTTGATTCTGGTTAAAAATTTCATTCTTGTAAAATCATTTGAATCTTCTTATTTTGAATTCTTTAATTAGCTTTATTACATTATTTATATCTTATTAAACGAAAAAAATAATTGATAACACATTATATTTTGTCAAAAATTCTATGCAGAATATATTTAGAAATCAATAATTATAAATTAAATTCAAACTAAATTAAGTTATTTGAATTCTCTTTGTAATTTATGATATCATAGTTATAATTTGAAAGCTGCAATTGTTTTTAAGTTCAAAGAATATTTTTTGAACATATTAAGAAATTATGGATTAAAAAGTAAGTTTACTAATTTGCACACTCATTTATTACATTATCATCTATAATTTTTGATTTATAAAATATTCTAGATTGATATATCTCCATAGAGGAAGCGAATAAAGAAGAAAATTGGATTTTTATAGAGAAATACATCAAATTTTTAGATAAGATGAAAATTTGGCTTTTACTTCCAATAAGCTTCCTGATATGGAAATTTTAATTAACGTTTTGAACTACATATCCCTTAACTATGGATATTTTAAGTCTCTATCATAAAATTAATTAAACGGACCCACACTACAAGATTTTTAGTAAAATATTCTATTTCGAAAATTAGAAGGCTGAAAGATTTATACAACAAATTTCACAAAACAAATAGGTTTAGATAACAACATAAGAATAAAGACTGTAAAGGAAAGTCATTAAATTGAAAAAACATAAACTATCATAGAAGAAGACACAAAGAGACATACTAGTAAATGATCATTTATTATTATAAAGTTTAATATAATGAGATTATTCAAGTAAAATATCGAACTAAAATTTTAAAGCTTCTAAAAAAAAGATTAAAGAGAATAAATAATCATATAATCCTTAAATTTATCACAATATGCATTAATGGCCACAAAGATGATAATTAAAAACCCAGAGCTAAAACAATTAAAATAAATCTTAAATTTTGAGCCTCATCTAAGTCTAGAAATATAGAGAAATTTAAGTTATGGTATTATTTAAAATTTCAAGCTCGATTAAAAACAAAGAAAATGGTTTATGAAAAGTATTCTTAGTGTTAATGATAGGTCAAAATATCTAAATTTTTGATCAAGATGTTTTTATGAAAAGAATAATATAAAAGACTATTTAGTTAAGTGTAAAAAAATATCGAACAAAATAGTAGATGAACTCAAAAAACTTAATATAATATAAATCGCCACTGTATATAGAATAGTTTCCGAAAATTCTTCACATAAGCAAGATTATTATTCTGAATATCCTTAGAGTGTATAATGAAAGTTGATCTAATCATTTTAAATTATATTCTAAAGTAAACGATAAAAATAATAAATTTATTAAAAGCTTATTTACTCTCTTATATGATATAGAGGAATTTTCAGAATCAATACAATCCCTCTTCAGTTGGATTTTAGAAAAGCAGTCCATAATCTTTTTGAAATATATTCATTAATCCAAAATTTGAAATGAAATTTAAACTTCGATTAGTCATCTATTTTATATATCATAGAATTAGAGTGATGATTATGTCGTTTAAAAATATGTGAATTCAAAAAGTTAATTCGTAAATATGTTTCTCATTATTTCCAAAGAAATATTTAGATTAATTTACTCATTTCTAAAAACAACAAAAATTGTTAACAAAATATTTTAAACCTAAAATATTTAGAAAATAATATTTGATTGAGCATAATAAAATAAACTATCAATCTGAATCATCAAAAGTTATCAAATTATCCAATTCTAATCTACATGCATTCTAAATTCCCCTTTAGATAGTTGTGTTATTCAAAGGTGCAATTTCATTTTCTACATAAATTATAGAGCAAGCATAGTTGAGAAAATAATTTTCTTTTAGTTTTTATTTTTCTTAATCATTTAATTAGTCTAAATTTAAACTAAATATTGTAAAGGAACTATCGCCATCCGTAATATTTCGATTTGAAAGATTAATTATTTAAGATTTTGATTAATTGTTAAATGATAGTTCATATTAAGTGTTTACAATTTCTATTGTAGATTAAGAGTTAACCTAATATCGATGAATAAGATATTATTATCGATTTTATTATTTATTATTTTTTTAATTTTATCTTATTAGTTAATTACCAAATTAATTTATTTTTTAAGATTCTTTGCCTTTTTAGAAACAAGTTTACTTATTAGCTTTATTAGCTTCATTTATATTTTTTATTTCATTCTTTGAATTTTATTAATTTATATTGGTTTCATCTATTGGATTATTAAGTTCCTTTGTATTTTATACATCTGAATTCTTTTAGTTTTATTAATTTATATTGGTTCCATCTATTGGATTATTAAGTGCCTTTGTATTTATTATTTAATTCTTTGAATTTTATTAATTTATATTGGTTCCATCAATTGGATTATTAAGTGCCTTTGTATTTTATACATCTGAATTCTTTTAGTTTTATTAATTTATATTGGTTCCATCTATTGGATTATTAAGTGCCTTTGTATTTATTATTTAATTCTTTGAATTTTATTAATTTATATTGGTTCCATCAATTGGATTATTAAGTGCCTTTGTATTTTATACATCTGAATTCTTTTAGTTTTATTAATTTATATTGGTTCCATCTATTGGATTATTAAGTGCCTTTGTATTTATTATTTAATTCTTTGAATTTTATTAATTTATATTGGTTCCATCAATTGGATTATTAAGTGCCTTTGTATTTTATACATCTGAATTCTTTTAGTTTTATTAATTTATATTGGTTCCATCTATTGGATTATTAAGTGCCTTTGTATTTATTATTTAATTCTTTGAATTTTATTAATTTATATTGGTTCCATCAATTGGATTATTAAGTGCCTTTGTATTTTATACATCTGAATTCTTTTAGTTTTATTAATTTATATTGGTTCCATCTATTGGATTATTAAGTGCCTTTGTATTTATTATTTAATTCTTTGAATTTTATTAATTTATATTGGTTCCATCAATTGGATTATTAAGTGCCTTTGTATTTTATACATCTGAATTCTTTTAGTTTTATTAATTTATATTGGTTCCATCTATTGGATTATTAAGTGCCTTTGTATTTATTATTTAATTCTTTGAATTTTATTAATTTATATTGGTTCCATCAATTGGATTATTAAGTGCCTTTGTATTTTATACATCTGAATTCTTTTAGTTTTATTAATTTATATTGGTTCCATCTATTGGATTATTAAGTGCCTTTGTATTTATTATTTAATTCTTTGAATTTTATTAATTTATATTGGTTCCATCAATTGGATTATTAAGTGCCTTTGTATTTTATACATCTGAATTCTTTTAGTTTTATTAATTTATATTGGTTCCATCTATTGGATTATTAAGTGCCTTTGTATTTATTATTTAATTCTTTGAATTTTATTAATTTATATTGGTTCCATCAATTGGATTATTAAGTGCCTTTGTATTTTATACATCTGAATTCTTTTAGTTTTATTAATTTATATTGGTTCCATCTATTGGATTATTAAGTGCCTTTGTATTTATTATTTAATTCTTTGAATTTTATTAATTTATATTGGTTCCATCAATTGGATTATTAAGTGCCTTTGTATTTTATACATCTGAATTCTTTTAGTTTTATTTATTTATATTGGTTCCATCAATTGGATTATTAAGTTCCTTTGTATTTTATACATCTGAATTCTTTGAATTTTATTAATTTATATTGGTTCCATCTATTGGATTATTAAGTTCCTTTGTATTTTATACATCTGAATTCTTTTAGTTTTATTAATTTATATTGGTTTCATCTATTGGATTATTAAGTTCCTTTGTATTTTATACATCTGAATTCTTTGAATTTTATTTATTTATATTGGTTCCATCAATTGGATTATTAAGTGCCTTTGTATTTTATACATCTGAATTCTTTTAGTTTTATTTATTTATATTGGTTCCATCAATTCGTTACTTAAGTTCATTTGTATTTTATACAAAAAAATTATTTTAATCTTTATTATCTTTCATTTAATCGATTTGGCTGTTATCACTTTTTGTACTTAGTTCATTTGATTATTCTTAAATTTTGCAATTCTATACTTAATTTTGAAGCATATTTGTATGGATTTTCTTGTTTTTGTATTATTCATAATCAGGCTCATTTTCACTATTATATCTATCATCATTCAAATAATATTCTAACATTTCTACTGCTACCAATTCATCAACTTTACCACAAAATTTAACCAGACTCCGACTATTTCTTATTAAGTGTTTAAATAGATTTAAATTTATTAATAGAATTTCTTATTAGATTTTTTATGTATTTATTATTAAAGAACTTTGATGTTCATTGTATTAGTTCTCACAAATAACTATATGCCTTTTTAAATCAAAATTCATTTATTTTAAAACCTTTAAATTGACTAGTAGGTAAGTATGATCGTTGTTTTATTGATTATTACTTGAGTTTTTAGAAAAATCTATTTAACTGCATAAAATTTTTGGTAAATGTAATGATTGTTTAATTGATATATTTCCAGAATCCAAACTCAATCTCATACTATTTAATTAATCCATAAGATCTTTATCCGTTTATTTATTGATTACTTTTTTTATTAACAAATCTATGTATTTTGATAATAGTTATCGTTGCTCTTTTTCTAATTTTCCTCTAAAAACCCAACATTCATAATTTTAATTATCGTTTTCAGCCAAAAAATAACTATTTTCGTTTAATTAATTCTTCCTAAAAGCTCGTAAATGTTTTCTTAAAAAAATAAATGTTATTTAAAAAGTTATGTCTTGATTCAGAGAGCAACTTAAGTAATATCCATTAGGATTGATATTCCTATACGGAGCCCTTTCAATATAGAATTCATATTCTACAGATTGAAAACAATCTTTTTTTACCTCATATTTTGGTTTTTCTTTTGCATCTGTATCACTATATATTAAGTAATCATTTTTAAATATGACAGATCTTGAATAAAACTTTGATGCGAATATTGAAATAATAGACCTTCCTTATTTTTCAACTTTCATCTATTTCTCAAAGAGTTTCATCCAATCTTAGCATAAAAACATAATTTACATTTTGAGTAATTTAGTTTGTAAACAATTGTTTAATCTGTTTCTTTTATCTCTAAATCTTCCATTTTCATTAAATAAAAAATAATAAAAGAAATGATTTAGAAATTAAAGGATTTCTAATATATAATATTAAAAAAAATGATCTTTAAATTTATATTGAATCCATATAAACAATTATGCAATTCGAACAAGAATTTGAAATTGAGTCTGAATTAGTTCAAGTTAGACTTAAGCATATAGGAATTTATTAGAGAAATAAACTCTTTTTTATAATCTCATACGGATTGAATATATTTATATTTCTGATTACCATAAACCTTGGCATATCATTTTGCTGTAAAGTTAACTTGGACTCTTAATATATGTTTATTTAAATGATTTATGTTATAATTTATATGAATTAAATTATCAATAGATAAAATGTATGAAAGTATCATTTTCTTATTTCATTGCAATCAATATATGAATTAGTAAAAAACCTAAAATATTCATAGGATACTTCACCACAAACATGAAAATGATGTTAAATTTTATGATACTAATGAAGGATATGAGATGCTTAAATAATTATGTTTTAACAAGATTAGAATTTCAAAAAAGGTTTTAAGTATACAATCAGCCAGGGAATCCTCAAATTACAAATTTAATGTTATTTGTTTTTTGAGTTGACAATCCTTGATAATTAATTTTTACCCTAAAATCTTCATACAATTTAGCAATAAACATGTAATTTAATTATCATTTAATCATTTGAGAAAAAAAATTTATTATACATGTAATTCTGCAATATAATATTGTTTATTTATTTAATGAAAAATTTTTTGAATCATTAGAGCTTTAAATTGTTTTAAAGTAAATAAAATCATTTACTTACTTGATTTTAGGAGTTAATTTAAGTTATATAAGAAATTTTTCTTCTATTTTGAAAAACATAGAAGTTTATGATGGCTATTTTTTTTAGATAAAATTCTGAAAAATTCTAAATTTATCCAAGTAATCCATTAGTCAGCTATTATAATTATTTTGTTTTGATTTATTTATTATGATTTGATGTTTTATATTTTTGAATAAAATATATATTTTATTTTCTCTCTAATTATATCTCATTCTCATTAAATCACACTCAAATAGATAACTGAAGAGAGAGAGAGCAACAGCGAGAATAAACATTATAATTAAAATTATAGAGATAATAATAATTCTTCTCAAACTTTGCTGCTCAGAAAATACAAGAAAAATACTAAAAAAGTGTTCCAAAAATATAATTTTTTTAAATTAAAATTAAAATTAAAATCAAAGTCTCCTACTCCCATTTTTTCTCAAAATACTCGACAATGAAGAAATATAGTATTATTAATAAAGCTCAGAAATATTTCTTATTCTCTTCTTACTCTGTAACTATACGA